AGAAAGACTGGAAGAGCTACGTGGGACCATTGGTGCATTCTTATAATTGTACCAGACACGAGACCACTGGACAGTCACCGTTTTTCCTGATGTTTGGACGCCATCCCCCGTCTGCCTATTGACCTTGCTTTTGGATTGGACATCACCAATGCCAAGTCATCATCTGTATCCAAGTACACAAAGGCACTACAAGACCGACTCAAGACTGCATATGACCTGGCAGTGAAGAACACCAGTACTGCTCAGTCACGACAGAAGACTAACTATGATCTCAGGACAAGAGCTGCAACCTTAGAGATCGGAGACAGAGTACTGGTGAAGAGAGTTGCTTTCGAGGGCAAGCACAAACTAGCAGACAAGTGGGAGGAGGAAGTGTATACTGTGTTGCATCAGCCCAACCTCTCCATACCAGTCTTCACTGTGGCTAAGGAGAACGGAGATGGACCTAGAAGAACACTTCACCGGAATCTTCTTCTTCCAATAGGTTCATTATCACCCCAGCAGCAAGTGAAGACACCACCTATCCCAAAGCCAAGGAAACGTAAGCCAGAGAGCATTCCAAATGTCACTGAGGATGTCACCATCGAGGCAAATGATGAAAGTGAGGAAGATTCAGTAGAGATCCTCGTCTTCTCATCCAAACCTGCGGTAGCAACTGATAACCCAGCTGCAAGGCCAACCGAGGAGAATACAGAAGACACTGAAGATGCCACCAGTTCACAAGTAGTGCCACTACCATCGGAACAGGAAGAAACTTCAGTGAGTACTGAACCAGCATTGGAGCTTGATGTTCATATGGATGAGGACCAACACGTGGATGAATCTGGAGATGTTCACGGCTCTGGGCATCAGGAACCTCAAGAACTGGACATTGACGCAATAAAGGAAGAGCCTCAGGATCCAGAGGAGGAGACACTCACAGGGACTACAGTGTCTACTGCAGTACCATCACAGGAGACTGATGGTTTGGAGGAGCAGTCCACGGAGGAAGAGACAGTCCCAAAGACATGTGACGTGGTCCCTGTAAATCCATCACCGAACCTGATGGAACAGCCGAAGAGGTACCTTCTACATTGCAATCACCACCGAGAAGAAGACGACGGTTACTACCGCAAGTACCAGTTAGAGCTTTGAGGAGATCGACACGGCAAAGAAGAGCACCTCAGCTTATGGTGACATTGTGATGTCGACGTCCCGCATCTCAGGCAGCCTGGAGGGCGAGAGCTGAGTATCTGAGGTCACTGTATGATGACGAGAGCTTCGACAGGATGCCAACTCACATCTCAAGATCCATCATGGACCTGGTACATTGCAAGCCCTAATGATGAAGACATCATTCCCCTGGGGAGGGAAGTGTGTGGCAGGGACATACTTTGTATGTCTGAGTGTTAGGATTAGTTTGCGCCAGTTAGCTTTAAAGTATTGTAAATAATCATTAATTTTCTGTCTTTATTTCAGCATCCAGTAGGCGCTGATATATGCAATGTAAATATGTATTTTAATATATTGCTTTGTTTCAACTCACTACAGTGACTGAAATGAAATAGTTAACAATTCATGTATTTTAAATAAGTTTCTTGATTTCAGCTCATATCAGCGCTGAAACAATTCATATAGTTCATCGCTTAGTTTTAGTAACACAACCAATAGTGTCTACCCAACCGTGACAACACGCTACGATTGGTCCATTCAAACCTGCATGCTTTTTCTATGCCTGAACACCTCACACCCTGACACAACTGACAAAACTTGTGTGAGAGACAGACAAGCATAGGCCAACTTAATTTTCATCAGGTTAGTAAACTAACTATCTTAAATAATGTTTATGCATATCTAATGTAGCAGTCATTCAATAAGTAATCTTAAACACATAGCGTATATTAATAAGGGTAATTAATGCCGTCAGGGTAGTTAACATGTCTTGTAATCGCACGGCAGGTAAACGCAAAGTTCCCATTTTAATGTGTATCATATATTCCCTTTAAACATAAACAGCATTAAATAACTTCAAAGCGAGGCATTGTGAGTATGCTTTGTGTATGAATGTTGTCTAATTATTATTATCGCATTTTGCACAAATAATGGCAAAGTGTCTCAATCTAAGATTTTACAGTGTATAAAATATATCTTTCCATGCTTATTGTTATGTCTGCATGGACAGTTTACACTGAATCGGGTTTGGTTTTGATCGAATCTATCTTATTTCCAGCACACAGTATTCCATCGCTCTGCTATGGCAGCCAGGCATAAACACGGGCCCCTGTGCCATACATAGGGTATGTAATGTGCCGCATAAATACTGTTTATATCATGTGTATATATAATTCTAGCATACAGAATCGCTGCTCCTTTATATTAACCTTCTAAGGTAAATAGTGTATGTTGTCGCGGTGATTGCCACCATATCATTTATGGCTTTGTTTAAGTCATGTCATGAGTTATCACTTCTGATCTTTGTAAAGTTCAATCCTCGGCGATCATCATTATAGTTCCGTAATGTTTTAATGTACAGATAATATTGTCGGCTCATGCATTCAAGCTCTATTAACATTTATAATGTTAATATACTGAATATATATAAATAGATGTCAATGTATGTTCTGCAAGCATGCCGAACATTGTTATTATATTGTTTAGTATAAGGTTGCTACAATTGTTTCAGGGTTTATCGTGTATGTTGAAATCTACATCCACTTGGAATAAACAGAACTTACAACCCTGCATTCACTTTGCGTGTCGTCATTGTGACCCTGCTACATATATAAGTGTACTTCACAAGACTTCTACAGAATATTTATATCACTACTCTACATCCACATCTGGTGTATATAAGTGTACTTCACAAGACTTCTACAGAATATTTATATCACTGTTCTACATCCACATCTGGTGTATATAAGTGTACTTCACAAGACTTCTACAGAATATTTATATCACTACTCTACATCCACATCTGGTGTATATAAGTGTACTTCACAAGACTTCTACAGAATATTTATATCACTGTTTTACATCCACATCTGGTGTATATGAGTGTACTTCACAAGACTTCTACAGAATATTTATATCACTGTTCTACATCCACATCTGGTGTATATATATGTACTTCACACAAGATTTCTACAGAACAAGATTTATATCACTGTTCTACATCCACACCTGGTGTATATAAGTGTACTTCACAAGACTTCTACAGAACATTTATATTACTGTTCTACATCCACATCTGGTGTATATAAGTGTACTTCACAAGACTTCTACAGAACATTTATATTACTGTTCTACATCCACATCTGGTGTATATAAGTGTACTTCACATGGCTTCTACAGAACACTTATATCACTGTTATACATCCACATCTGGTGTATATAAGTGTACTTCACATGGCTTCTACAGAACATTTATATTACTGTTCTACATCCACAAATTGTGTCAAACTCCATTGGGCTCAAATACATCAATATCACGTTTGTGCAATTTACATACAGAGAAGCTCGACAACTTACGAGAGTCACTCAGCAAAATTTTCTTACTGAATAATATACATCTCATCAGCTTAAAGTTCACGCAAGAAACACTGTTGGAAAACCAATTGAAAACTATGTCATAAATCATCATAATGCTGGACACTGCAAGGAAAACCCGGCAAGGAAAATACCGTATACACCTTTCACTTGCAAAACAACGAGTATGTGTGACGAGAAGTGACAGTGGGAGATTTAAAACAGACCCAGGGACTCTCTAAACACACCTTGTACCGACTCACACGCACCGACAACGACAAACGGATGTTGATTAAATCACCCAAAATTGACTGGTTAATCAATGTCACCCTCATGTCATAAAAAATGGTTATGTCTCCGAAGTAATGAATTAACGAATTAAGAACACTGTCATTAGGCTCCCAACTGTTCTCGGAGCAAAAGCATTCATACCTCCTGATGTCTTTGTTGAGATCACCGGGGGCACAGCACTTTCAACACTCTGGGTAAGCCTCACAAATACCACTATCTTCTCACAAACAGCCATAGCTACCAACAGACATTATATAGGCTCACAAACACCAGTATCTTCTCACAAACACCAGCAGCTTCCTGCAGACACACTCATCTAGCCACTAACACCTATATCTGGCTCTAACACCTATATCTGGCCACTAACACCTATATCTGGCCACTAACACCTATACCTGGCCACTAACACCTATACCTGGCCACTAACACCAATACCTGGCCACTAACACCTATACCTGGCCACTAACACCTATACCTGGCCACTAACACCAATACCTGGCCACTAAAACCAATATCTCGCTACTAACACCTATATCTGGCCACTAACACCTATACCTGGCCACCTAAACTGACACCAATACCTGGCCACTAACACCTATATCTGGCCACTAACACCTATACCTGGCCACTAAAACTTATATCTGGCCACTAACCTATTCTGGCCACTAACACCAATACCTGGCCACACCAATACCTGGCCACTAACACCAATACCTGGCCACTAAAACCAATACCTGGCCACCAACACCTATATCTGGCCACTAACATCTATACCTGGCCACTAACACCAATACCGGGCCACTAACACCTATACCAACACCTATATCTGGCCACTAACATCTATACCTGGCACTAACACCAATACCTGGCCACTAACACCTAACACCAATACCTGGCCACTAACACCTGGCCACTAACACCTATATCTGGCCAGTAACACCTATATCTGGCCACTAACACCAATACCTGGCCACTAACACCTATATCTGGCCACTAACACCAATACCTGGCCACTAACACCAATACCTGGCCACTAACACCTATACCGAGCCACTAACACCAATAGCTGGCCACTAACACCTATACCTGGCCACCAACACCTATACCTGGCCACTAACACCAATACCTGGCCACTAACACCTATATCTGGCCACTAACACCTATATCTGGCCACTAGCACCTATATTGATCGTTGATTCACTCACAGGGAAGGACATTCCTGTATCTGTTCTTGTGTCTGTTGAACGATAACCTGGCCTCTTCACTTTCGTCTGTGGGCTGCAAATGGCGCAGATTCTGGAGGAAATTCAGAAAAACAACCAGATTAAAAACTGATGTTGATAGATATTGGTGTCTCCTAATATAGAGTTGAACAGTTGTTGGTTCACTTACTGATACAAAATGCATGAAATTGTTACAGCATAGTTAAACAATAACAAATGACATTGCTAACTGTGCCACAAAACTTGGCCATGGAGTCAATAACATTCATCTAGGACACCATTGCTTGAGATTTTGACCTTGATGTCATGCCACATGCAAATCACCAAATTTCCTAATTTAGAAAGTTCTAAGGCAACATTATCAATTCATAATTATGGGGCATGGAAGGGTTTCAACAATGTTGCATTTATGCAAAGTGAATAAAGAGTATTGTCAGCTTCAGTGTGAAATATATGACAAAGTTCCAGTCAATAGAATTAACTCAATAACAGTGATGATCATGACAGAGTGCAGACTCATTGTTGATTTCAAACTGTTACAAATTCAACTTGATAAATGCGTTAAAACAGAATTCCTACAAAACTGTTTTTTGTTTAGTGATGATAAATTATTGATTTTATTGAAAACATCAAACACAAAAGGTCATTGTTCAATTACTACTGATGTCACATGCTGAGTGACAGTAGTTCTGAGCCCTTCACGTTTGGATAAATAATATGCGGAGTCTTTTTCTTTTATTTTTGAATGAATAAAATCTTAAGCATGTGTTCATGTTTTCTTAAAATGTTTTTCAATTGTAATTTTTTATTTTTATAAAGAGTATATATACTCTTCACTACTACTTTAAAAAAGTGGGCTCACCGGAAACATCTCTTAAGAAATATTAAAGTGGGCCCACATGTCTACTTTCATGATTACAGTTTTGTTGGTGAGGTTTTTTCATTCTGTTCCGTAACTACAGTCAACACATTTGTTTTAGATGTTAAGTGATGACTTTCATTCAGCGCTAATTAATAATAATAATAATAAAGTCAATTTCTATAGCGCAATATCCGAGTTGAATGACATGCTCAAAGCGCGCTTTGAAGTAGGTAGGAATTTAGAGGTATGCCACCCAGAAGAGATAGGTCTTGAGTTGAAAACTTGAGAAAATGTCACATGATTTCAGATTTTCTGGCAGTTGTTCCATTGGGCTGCTGCTGTGTGGGAAAAAGAATGTTCGCAATAGGCCTTTGTTGTTTTTCTTGGAACTTGCAGCAAGTTCTTTGTCTGGGATCTCAAACGATCTAGATGGAAAGTACGGCTTGAGAAGCTCTTGCAGATAGACTGGCACTGTACCATGGATGCACTGGAATGTTATACACAAGGTTTTGTATATAACCCTCTCTTGTATAGGAGCCAGTGTAGGCCTCGGAGTATTGGTGTTATGTGTTTTCTTTTGGGACACATGGTTATAATTCTTGCTACTGTGTTTTGTACACGCTGTAGTTTGTTGATTAATCCTTTGGGAGATGCCGTTAGTGGAACATTGCTGTAGTCCAGACGGGACAATGACCTAACCAGCTTCATTGTAGCATCTTTTGAGATAAGTTGGCGGATCTTGCTGATGTTACGGATGTACATGTAACACATCTTGGCTAGTTGATTTACATGCTTCTCCATTGACAGTTCATTGTCAAGAGTGGCACCAAGGTCTTTGACTGCAGGACTGAGGGTGATCTCACTGCTTCCTACTCTGATGTTGGTAGGATTGGTCTTATCGTGGTTGTATCCATGGCTACTTCGGCGTTGGAATGAGTTGGCTTGAAAAGTGTGTACACTTGGGAATCATCTGCATAAAAGTGGCAGAAAAGGTTGTGATTCTTTCTATGATAGAAACCAATGGTTTCATGTAGAGAGTGAATAACTGGGGTCCAAGAACAGATCCTTGGGGACCGCCATATTTCAGCATCATGGGTTCTGTCAAGGTGCCATCAAAGGACACACTTTGAGATTGATTCTGAAGGTAGGACTGGAACCAGTGGAGTGCTGTGTCACATATGCCCATTTCATGCTGATGAAGCAGTTTGTTATAGTTGATGGTGTCGAAGGTGGCACTCAAGTCGAGCAAGACCAGAACCCAATATTTCCACTATCTACTCCATGGCATAAATCATCAACAACTTGCCAGAGTGAGTTTCAGTGCTATGGTGGTATCTGTAAGCTGATTGGAATTGTTCTTGTAGACTGTGACTTCAGATGTGATCGTTTAGACGCTGTGATACTGCTTTTTCAATAAGTTTAGAAACAAAGGATAGATTTGAAACTGGTCAGTAGTTTTTAAGACTGTCTGTGTCGAGTCCTGACTTCTTAAGCTGCGGCTTGACTAGAGCTTTCTTCATGGCAAGGGGGTCTACTGCCCTGGTAATACAGGTGCTGACAAGTCCTGTCACGACTGGCAGCATGATATCCATGTGTTCACAAAGGAATGTTGTTGGTATTGGGTCCAAGTCACATGTCGTCTTGTTTGCGATTTTGGGAAGATTTAGAATTTCACCATCCATAAAGGGTTTCAGATCTGTCAGTTTCTCTCCTTGAAAAACTTCTGCTCTGTCATCACTGGCATCGCTAGAGGGTACAAAAACTGTTGCGAATTGTATAAACTTTCTCACAAAATATTCGGAAAATGACTGTGCAATGTCCTGATTGCTGACTGCTGAAGTCAGCGATTATATCGGGAACCTTTCCAATCAGGTTAAAGGGGAGTCTATACAGAGTTTTGGGGTTGGAGGACGAGCCCGTGATCTTCACCATGAAGTAATCTCTTAGCATGTTTGATCATATCCGTCACATTTTTTTCTCTTGCACATAAAGTTGTCTATGAATTTAAAGATGCGTCTTCTTCCACATCCAGTTTTTTCTGAGTTTTGCTTTAGCTTCCTTTACCTCTGGTGTAGTGGTTAGCATGCTGGCCTCTCATGTCAAAGGCCCGGGTTTGAATCCCGGTGGAGACACCAAAACTTGTGACTTGGGTCTCATACTGTGTTGTGTCCCTGGGCAAGGCACTTCGTCCACATTGTATTCAGTCCACCCAGCTGTTCAAAATGGGTACCTGAGAAGCGGATGTACAGACCTATACGGTCGCGTGAAGCACTTAGCAGTGGCTTTGAAAGTACAATTCTGTCAGGGGAATAATGTAACGTCAGAGAGCAGCAGCATGTTGGATTTTAGGCACAAAAATTAGCCTTATGTTTTATAGCTTAAAGATAGTATGCAGCAGAGAGGGTGCGGGTGATCCTGGCACAGTCAAGCTGGTAAGGCTCGTCTTCAGCTCAGGGCCCTTGCCCACTCTACTCACAGCCCAGACAGCGAATGGAACTTCTCCCAGGAAACGCTGCCTAGCCGAACCCACCAAGAACTTTCCGGAGAATATGTAGACTCCCGAACACTGCAGCTTTCTGCATTACCCAGAGTGTCAGAGGGGCTGTGCTCTCGTAGGAGAACCCGGGCACTCTCCTGATCTGTGCCAAGAGATCAGGAGGTACCAAACCAAGGGCACCGAGAACAATGGGGAGCCTGACAACAGAGTCTGAGACATTTCAAGGGCAAAGTCCACATATTTAGCATGCTTTTCCTGAATCTTGCCAATTACATTGCTGTCAAAAGGGACAGAAAATTCAATGATATAAATAAATTCATTGGCTTTATCAAAAAGGACAAGATCAGGTTTGTTGGCTGGATTCTTCTCAGGCTGTATATGGGCCTATTCCAAAGAAGTGTGAAAGCATAATTTTCCATGATGCCCTGGACATGTTCAGGGTCATACCATGGATGGATCTCAGAGTCAAAGCCACAAGCATGGCGAAGATGATAGTAAAAGCAACGAGCCATGCCATCATGTATCCCTCTTCCCTATACTACTACCTCCCTTGATGTCATACCTCCCTTCCCTATACTACTACCTCCCTTGATCTCGTACCTCCCTTCCATATACTACTACCTCCCTTGATCTTGTACCTCCCTTCCCTATATTACAACCTCCCTTGATCTCGTACCTCCCTTCCCTATACTACTACCTCCCTTGATCTCGTACCTCCCTTCCATATACTACTACCTCCCCCTTGATCTCAGACTCCCTTCCCTATACTACTACCTCCCTTTGATCTCATACCTCCCTTCCATATACTACTACCTCCCTTGATCTCGTGACCTCCCTTCCCTATACTACTACCTCCCTTGATCTCTACCTCCCTTCCCTATACTACTACCTCCCTTGATCTCGTGACTCCCTTCCCTATACTACCTTGATGTCATACCTCCCTTCCCTATACTATTACCTCCCTTGATCTCCTACCTCCCTTCCCTATACTACTACCTCCCTTGATCTCGTGACTCCCTCCCTTCCCTATACTACTACCTCACTTGATGTCATACCTCCCTTCCCTATACTACTACCTCCCTCGATCTCATCCTCCCTTCCCTATACTACCTTGATGTCATACCTCCCTTCCCTATACTATTACCTCCCTTGATCTCGCACCTCCCTTCCCTATGCTACTACCTCCCTTGATCTCGTACCTCCCTTCCATATACTACTACCTCACTTGATGTGATACCTCCTTCCCTATACTACCTTGATGTCATACCTCCCTTCCCTATGCTACTACCTCCCTTGATCTCGTACCTCCTTCCCTATACTACCACCTCCCTTGATGTCATACCTCACTTCGGTTTTGCGTTGTAGTGTAATATTTTGTCTTAGTTTGCTAGTTGCAGATGAACCTGTTGTTATGTACATAATAGACACCTTAAATTATGGTTATTTCAGCATACTGAGATGTGGTTGCCCTATCTTAAAATACAGCTGAAGCATGGGCCAGCAAAGCATATCAATCAACGCAAGAACACCAACTGTACAATAGCCAAAGCCCTGACCTGCCTCAGTCTTGTGTCTAGCTTATGTAATTATCACACGGTTTTAACTAAGTGGTTGACCTGCTAATTTAGTCACTCTAAAGCCCTAGTACGGTAAACAGTTCCACACTACAGTGAGAGGTTTTAGAGGAATATGGATATAAGCTCACTTCTGTGTA